TTGTTGTTGTTGTTGTTGTTGTTGTTGTTCTCCTTCTTTTCTTCCAGCACTCTTGGGAGCAGAAAGGCGATCAAGGAGAGGGGGGGGGGAGGGGGACTGGTTGTCCAAGAACTAACAGGATGACCGAGTTCTACAGCAGGGACAGAGACAGGACTGATCAACGTCCAATAACGGGAGAGGAAAGGAGAGAGGGGAACACGTTGGCCAACTAAGTTCCACTGCCAAGAGCACCTGGGAGGCATGTCCCGATGACCAAGGAGGTGAAAGGTGAGGGTGAGGAGAGGGTGGAAGAGGGAGCTGCTGGTTGCTTTGCCCAAGGGTCTGCACAGCTGGCAAGGTCTACGAGATTCGCCCAGACTTCTATCCGGAAGTGGATGAACAATGCACCACAACATAGGTTTTATATTGCGTGGGTTGAGCACTTGTGTTCCACTACAGTACACCGTGCAATCACGTGCGGGGGACAAGACACAGGCGCTGCATGATTTGCACTTGGCGCTTGTTGAGAAGAGATAGAGGGTGAACCTCCTCGCATTTGAGAGTATAAGGACGAGTGCCCTTTATCTATGTGTATGCTAAGGTCAAGAAAGAATTGCGGCCAGGGATGGACACTTGGACATGAGCGGGTGCAGTGGTGCACCCTTTTCAGAAATGTCGGTACGGATCACAGGATCAGGCCTGTGATGGACTGCATTGCTGCTGGTGAGTGCAGAGCTGTCCGGGTGAAGGTGATGAACGGCCTACTTGTGGGAGGCAGTGATTAGGGAGGTCCGGGTGCAGCAAATCAATGTTATCTGCAATATGCAGAGGTCAACAAGCAAGCTGCTCTTCGGAAGGGATCTGCGAGAAGCAGTGGTTCCAGGACATTCAATCGAGAACGAACATTGTTGTGAAGTGCATCAAGATCCACCACAAGGCACTTGCACTTCACAACAGAATCACTCTCACGTTGCCGGAGACTGAAAAGACTCTCATCATGCCCACGATCATATGCTTTGCGTCTGTGCACCGGATGCTGGACAGGTTGTGGGACACGATGATGATGATGATGACGAGGAGGAGGAGGAGATGATGATGATGATGATAGCCTAAGCATTTCCCAAAGAAAGAAAAGGATTCTAAGATTCTTCCCAATTCATAATGCAAGAGTCAACCTTGAGACGATGACATACTTTGCAAGAAGAAGCGGAAATAGACTCTGATGGAAGAAGGAGGAAGAAAGAAAGAAAGAAAGAAAGAAAGATGGAGAAGAACACGAGACTGAACCACTGCCGTCTCCATCCTCCTCTCCCCATCCTCATCTCCCTCACACAATCACCTTGTCCTCTTATCAACAATTGATTACAATAATAAATCGGTGGATGAATAAGAATCAATGTCCAAATGATCCCCCTTTACTGCTGGCACTCAAAAGAGCTCTCCTTCGACCCTAACTCACTCTCTCTTCCGCATGGTTGCATAACTAGCTATGGTGGTTCATCCATACCCAGCACCACTCTTCATAGGAGAACACCCTACTATCATACCTGTCCCATCGGTCTCCACCATAGCCACACTACCAGACGAAGTCCATGTCCAACCGGTACCCCAACAGGGGACTTCCACATGTAGCACCCATCAAGGACGTGGAGATGAAAGGTCCACCATAGCCAAAGGTCAGTGTTTCTTGTCGGTTCCCTCCTCCTCCCTCTGCTACCTCTACTCATTCACTTCCACCTACCTCCATAGCCTAGCCTCAGGTCTTTCTCCCTCTATCTCCATAGCCTAGGCCCTCTCCCTCGGGGGGGATCTTCAGTACTCATCCCCTTGGACTCACGATGTCCAATACTGGTGCCTTCAACACTGGCTTCTTCTGAAGGCTTGAGGCCCACCATAGCCATGGCTTCCTCCCTCTTCCTTCTTCCCCCAGGCTGAGCTATGGCGGACTACTAGGGCCTTGCCCTGACGTGCAAAAGACAACGCAAAGCAGCTATGGCCCCTTCCACTCAGGCCGCCATGCCTAACTCTGCCTCGAAGCTTCTTGGCGCAGCTCTACCCCAACAGGGGCCTTCCAGATGCAGCACCTACCAAGGTGATGAAGATGGTGTCCGCCATAGCCAGGTAAGTATGTCTGGCGCTCCCCTCTCCTAGTCGCTTCTTCCTCCTCCTCCTGCCCGAGCTCTCCTCCACCATAGCCAAGGTGGGGAGCTGGGCGCCTTCTTCTCCACACAGCACTGCACACTAGAGCTACTCCTCCAGCGCTCCAGCAGCGTGACGTCCAAACTTGCATGCAGCAAATGAGGAGGAGCTCTTTGCTCCTCCTCGAGATATAGTGGCCAACTTGCCTCTTGGGCAGTGACTTCCAGGCCGTGCGGCCTCCAAGCCACCGGTACCTCCTCCCTTTCAGAGGGAAACGGCATTGCAGACTCTGATATCCCCCGTACAGGCCCTAGACTCAGACCACTTGGACTGGTACCCGCCTAGACCTACCCTACAACTACCGGGCCTCTAAAAATGCCAACGTTTTGCCTTCTTCTGCTCGGCCTCCAGTCCCCGACACATCTACAGCAACCCGAGTGTTGCTGGCCTACCTGCTACTTGAGTGTTTTTCCCCACTGCTCTAAGTGCCGTGGGCCTACTCCCGCTACTTGCGTGTTTTCCCCGCTGCAACCCTCAATGTCACGGCCGCAGGTAAGTACCGGCCCTGCGGCGCCTCCCAAGCAAACAAGTACCCTTGCGGGTCACACACACACTCAAGCCGACAAGCAGTCAGACAGGCACGCAGACCAGCAAACACGCACACACACAGACTTAGAAAATTCAGCAGAAAGCGGGAATCTCAGCAAGGCATTCATTCTAGCAGCGAAACTCAGGAATCAGCTGTGTCCTCAGTCTGACCCAAAGGAGGGCGGTGGACTGTTCTAGTGTGAGTACAACCTATTGAACATTCCTGTCAAATAAATTATCCCTAAATAGAAAGAATCAGAAAGATCCGGTCCTTCGGGACATCCATTAAAATTGGAGCGATACAGAGAAGATTAGCATGGCCTCTGCGCAAGGATGACACACATAAATCGAGATATGGTCAAAATTAAATTAAAAAAAAAAAAGAAAAAAAGATCCTTTTTGCCAAAAGTCCTGGGTAAAGTATTCCGGTACTATTTCGGAATTTCCCTTGAGTTGCGGGTGACAAAGGAAGCGGACTGATTTCTCCGCAGAGTAGGATGAAGCTATTGTCTTTTTTCTTTTTTTTCTTTTTTTTTTGACATGAAGCCATTGTCCTTATTTGCAGAAAAAGGGGAAAAGAAAAGAGGTTAGAAGAAGACATTGGTACCTGTTCCACATTCCGGTGCGAAAGAGTCCTTCAAAATATTCACAGCGAGAAGAAAGAACCACCTGGTGAGCTGGGAAATCGCAGTCTTGCATGGATCGTGCTGAGTGCTTGACTTCTTCATCACTTCCAATCTGAGTTTCCTCTTTCCCACCTGCACATGCCCTCAAATGTACGTCGCTGCCAACAGAGAGAGAATCAGAACATTGTCCACGAAAGACAAGACCTGTGCAGGCAGACACCGGAATACGCAGATATCCACGAGTTCCCAATTAGAGGCTCCCAACAACTTCAGTGATATCAGAAATGAAAACCTTGAGCAGCTAAGCTTTTCCGTTTTTTCAACTTTCTTCAACTTTTTTCAACTTCTTTCAACTTTTCCATATTCAAGCCCGTTGTTTGAAATCTTCCACTTGTCTCAGAGAAAGAATGTCTGCAGGCATCCACATGAGAGAGAGAGAGAGAGAGAGAGAGAGAGAGAGAGAGAGAGAGAGAGAGAGAGAGAGAGAGAGAGAGAGAGAGAGAGAGAGAGAGAG